AATTGCCAAGCTCCATTATCAGTCAGCCACATTCTGTTGGACTGCCCACTTTATCAACGAGCACGCAGAATTTCCCTCTCTCGTCGTCTTCGCTCTGCTGCTCTCTGTTTACCTTCCTTTCTTGCTGATGGACCCACCTTTCATCCGGACTTTCTCATTGACTTTTTGACTACAACTGACTGACTTCACAAATTCTGATACCTTCAGCCCTTTCTACTTCAATCTCTTGCTACCCTCTACCCCCGTACTATCCCCTGCCCCGCTGTTTTCTGTAACCTACTGCCATCCAATACCCTCGCTTCCTTCCCTACCCTGCAGCGCTGTATAGCCCTTGTGGCTTAGCGCTTCTTTTTGATTATAATAATAATAATACAAGAAGCCCCTATCACGTGCTCCTAACATCCTATGGAGAGGGAGCATAGACACTCGGGCTGTCCCACAGTTACTAAAATTGACATAGCCCCAATCCACAAAGGGGGCACTAAAGCAATAGCAAAGAACTACAGACCGATAGCGCTAACATCCCATATCATAAAAATCTATGAAAGGGTTCTAAGAAGCAAGATCACCACTCATCTAGATACCCATCAGTTACACAACCCAGGGCAGCATGGGTTTAGAGCAGGTCGCTCCTGTCTGTCCCAACTACGGGACCACTATGACAAGGTCCTGGATGCTCTAGAAGACAAACAAAATGCACAAGTAATATACACAGACTTTGCAAAAGCCTTTGACAAGTGTGACCATGGTGTAATAGTGCACAAAATGGATGATAAAGGAATAACAGGAAAAGTCGGTAGATGGATCTATAATTTCCTAACAAATAGAACACAAAAAGTGGCAGTCAACAGAGTAAAGTCAGAGGTGGCTAATGATGAAAAGCTCTGTTCCACAAGGCACAGTACTCGCTCCCATCTTGTTCCTCATCCTCATATCGGACAGAGACAGGAATATAAGCCACAGCACCGTGTCTTCCTTTGCTGATGACACCCGAATTTGCATGACAGTTGTGGAAAATTGCATTTACTTGGATGTATCATTATATACATAACAGTAAATGAACAAAGATAATTGTTATTTATCAGTTAGACAAGTAGGAATTTGGGACACCTAGGTCGCAAAAAATGTCCCCCTTCGATACCTACCACTGTCATATCCGTAAGTTGCTCTGGACTTATTAATCATAAATGAAATATACATCACCAGGAATGCTGGTAAATATATAAATTTGTGGACTGTATATTAAAAATAATAAATGATTATATATATATATATATATATATATACACACACACACACAACAGATGGAGAATATATCTTAATCATAACACTCACCAATTTGACTGGAGATTAATGTGTATCATACTCAGAAAACCTCACTGTCTATGAAAATAACACTGGCCCGGTTACTACATAAGACTTATCTGAGGTTCCTGGAGCTGTCTTGTCCAGTCGCCTGATATCTCAAGTTATGCAGGAATGCACATCCAACAATTTCGTCTCCTATTTGAGAGGTGTCAGCCCAATTTTAACCTCTAGAGCACGAAAAATTCTTCCCATTACACCAACGTTTCTAATCCAAATTCAAACAAAATGGCGACTGAGCCCCCCAGCCGCAGGTTTCCCATTTTCGATAACATACTTCTTTTAAAAATACAATATAGGGCATCTATTTACCTATAAATTACCGTATTTCCGGAAAATATATACAGTATTTTCCACAACAGTGTCCTCCATCGAAGACGCTGCAAGACTCCAGGCGGACATCAACCAAATCTTTAAATGGGCTGCAGACAACAATGTGAAGTTCAATGATGAGAAATTTCAATTACTCCGATATGGAAAATGTGAGGAAATTAAAACTTCATCGGAGTATAAAACAAATTCCAACCACACAATAGAGCGAAAAACTAATGTCAAAGACCTGTGAGGGTTCATGTCAGAGGATCTCACCTTCAAGGACCATAACATTGTATCAATCACATCTGCTAGAAAAATGACAGGATGCATAATGAGAACCTTCAAAACTAGGGGTGCCAAGCCCATGATGACACTCTTCAGGTCACTAGGTCTATCTAGGCTAGAATATTGCTGCACACTAACAGCGCCTTTCAAGGCAGGTGAAATTGCTGACTTAGAAAATGCACAGAGAAACTTCACGGCACGCATAACTGCGATAAAACACCTCAGTTACTGGGAATTCTTGAAGTTCCTCAACCTGTACTTCCTAGAACGCAGGCGGGAGAGATACATGATTATATACACTTGGAAAAATCGTAGAGATTAGTCCCAAACTTGCGCACAAAAATCACTCCCTACACAAGCAAACGACTCGGCAGACGATGCAACATCCCCCCCAATGAAAAGCAGAGGTGCCACCAGCACGCATAGAGACAACACAATAAGTGTCAGGGGCCCAAGACTGTTCAAATGCCTCCCGGCACACATAAGGGGAAATACCAATAGACCTTTGGCTGTCTTCAAGCAGGCACTGAATTTGCGTGCGGCTAGCAGTAACAGCCTGGTTGATCAGGCCCTGGTACACCATGAGGCCTGGTCACAGGCTGGGCCGCGGGGGCGTTGACCCCCGGAACTCTCTCCAGGTATACAGACAGACCGACTAGAAACCCATCAAGACACTTGGACAACCTTCCTTGACGAAATAATTAGACTGCCAGACAACACTATAAACCTCTTCCATTCCCTATACAATCCTGCTCCTCCTCTATATTCCTAAACCTTACCCGTAACCTCTAATTCTTAAGCTCTGCAGGGGTGGACCTTAAAAGACGTCTTTTTTACCAAACCAACTTCCATGTCTTCCCCTCTCCAACCATATTTTGCATTTGAGCAGACAACAGCAAACCAACTTTGACGTTATGCCGGCTTGATAAAGCTCCTGGAGAGCGAAACGTTGCCACAATAAATGTCACATTAGTTGCACTTGTGTCCTTTTACTTTACATATTGTCGGTAATTCTACCAACTTTATTACAGAACGTTCTTTGCCGCCCAAACCCAGTCCAGTACTACCATTGTTCCTAACGTTTTCACAGTCAGCACGGTCCAGGAACTATATTCCCTCTACCTTGTTAACAACGCTATGAAACTGGGTTTAGCCCTGGCTCGTTTTCTCCATTCTTTTATCCCTTCCTTTTTCAATTCAATTCAATTCAAAGTTTATTCTCTATAAGGATTACAATGCTGAGTTTACAGAAATTTGGTTATTGTTTGGTTTACATGTAGTAAAATTGTGATTACAGAGTGTACCACTAGAACGCTTAGCATGGCTAGGCATTTCGGGCATACTTAGTTTTATTCTTAATTGTAAAATATTACAAATTATGAGGTAAGTTGGTATTATGGCTAAGTGACTAAATACTAGTTTATGAGTTTAGCAATGTGAATGCTTTTGTTTTGGCACAGTATATAGTTTCAGTATTGGAGTATCACAGGATTCATTATTTTAAGACTGAGATTAATATTTCTGTTTATGGTCAAATGAGTGAGTGAGTGTAAGTGTGAACCACCAGGTGGTATTCGTGTAGTTAGTTGACGGGGTGTATCAGGGAGATAAGATGTTTTCTAATGGTAGTTTTGAAGGTGATGAATGTGTCTGCAGTTCTAGAGTTCTCAGGTAGGGTATTCCAGATTTTAGGGCCTTTGACATACATTGAATTTTTGTAAAGGTTTAGTCGGACACGGGGAATGTCGTAGAGATGTTTGTGTCTGGTGTTATGCCTGTGGGTTCTGTCACAACTATCAAGAAAGCGTTTTAGGTCAAGGTTGATATTAGAGTTTAAGGCCCTGTAGATATAGATTGCACAGTAGTAAGTGTGGATGTACTGAACTGGGAGTAAGTTTAGATCTTTGAAGAGTGGGGGGGGGGGGGGGGGGGGGGGGGGGTGCTGCCAGGGATGGCAGCGTAAGCGTAAGTTTATTGGCTGTCATCCAAGTCGATATTTTAATCAGCTCCTCATTCACCCACTTATCTTTTTCTATCCAAATCTCCCTTTCATCCACATGGGTCTTACCTGGGAGTATCCTGTTTCTGTTTATCCTATTGGCAGGCAGGGAAACTTTTGCCGGTTCAGGCAATGAATTCCAGATCTTTGGGGCCTTTTATGTACATTGCATTTTTGCATAGTGCGAGACTGACCCATTATCTACCTCTGTAATCTGTAATTACCTTTGTAACTTGTCATGATTGTGACCAGATCTACCTGGAGTTCATGACCTTTGTAACTTGTTCAGTTATCATAACTTTGGGGTCCAGTCTCTGGACCCATTATGTACCTCTAATATTTTGACACCCACCCACAGGATGGGTATGTGGTACATCATAAACATATTAAACTAACTAAACTGCGAGACTGGTATGAGGGATAGCGAAGAGTTTGTGCCTTGTGTTATGCATGTGTGTATTATTATTATTATCAAAAAGAAGCGCGAAACCTACAAGGGTCATACAGCGCGTGTGCTGTTGTAACTATCACGAAGTTTGTGAGGACGGTTTATATTGGAGGTTAATGTTCTATATATAAGGCTCATTTGTTAAGTTATTATTTAGTAAGTGTCCTATCAGGTAAATATTGTTACTGCTGCAACACTGCAGAATCTCACATGGATCAGTGTAGTTGCAGGGTATTTATATTCGGTATAAAAAAAATGTTGAGGATGGGCAGGTACATGTCAATAAACCATGGGAATATCTGCGTAAATATATTTGCATCAAAACAAACAAAACCTAACTAAAAACATCATTATGAAATCATTTATAATAAGAAACGTAAGTTACATTAAAGATAAATGTGATTTTTATTTTTTTTTTTGTCAAACTTGGAATAGGAAAATGGTATACCATCACACCATACAAAGTTAAAATGAAGGTAATAATGACTTCAAGAATATGAATTAAAAATATAAAATAAAGAGACCGAAAATGAGCAGTTTAATACATGTATTCATGATAAGAGAACTTTATTAATGTTGTAAATTTGAGTGGAGGCGTGTGTACATAGTTTGTTAGTGCGCATGTGTAGTGTTGGTGTTATGGTGAAGCTGACAGGGTATAGTGAAGCTGACACTACCAGGGTATAGTGAAGCTGACACTACCAGGGTATAGTGAAGCTGACACTACCAGGGTATAGTGAAGCTGACACTACCAGGGTATAGTGAAGCTGACACTACCAGGGTATAGTGATGCTGACACTACCAGTGTATAGTGAACCCACTGACAACCTTGTATAATGAAGCCTCTATGACACCATAGTACAGTGAAGCACATATGACACCATAGTACAGTGAAGCACATATGACACCATGATACAGTGAAACCTTTATGACACCATGGTATAGTGAAGCCTCTTAACACCATGGTATAGTGAAGCCTGTATGACACCATGGCAGAGAGAAGAGTGTCAGCCTCACCCACCAGGATACCAGACGTGAGTTAAGAGATAAAGACCAGGAGCTGCATATAAACATGTTCAGTTGCTGCCACCATAAGTCTCTGAACCATCAATGTCTGACCATTCAATATAATTTTTGTTATTGTGTTCCGTTATATATAGTTGGTATATACCCTAATGTAGGACAGCAGAAGGTTGAAGTATAAACACGACTTGGTTAATAACGCACTAACTTCACACACTGAGTGTCCTTGGTTCAATCTCCGGCACGGGTGGAATGTTGGACATGTTGTCCCTGTTCACCTAGCAGTAAGTAGTTACTTAGGTGTTAGTGGACTGGTGTGGGTCACATCCTGGGTGTTAGTGGACTAGTGTGGGTCACATCCTGGGTGTTAGTGGACTGGTGTGGGTCACATCCTGGGTGTTAGTGGACTGGTGTGGGTCACATCCTGGGTGTTAGTGGACTGGTGTGGGTCACATCCTGGGTGTTAGTGGACTGGTGTGGGTCGCATCCTGGGTGTTAGTGGACTGGTGTGGGTCACATCCTGGGTGTTAGTGGACTGGTGTGGGTCACATCCTGGGTGTTAGTGGACTGGTGTGGGTCACATCCTGGGTGTTAGTGGACTGGTGTGGGTCACATCCTGGGTGTTAGTGGACTGGTGTGGGTCACATCCTGGGTGTTAGTGGACTGGTGTGGGTCACATCCTGGGTGTTAGTGGACTGGTGTGGGTCGCATCCTGGGTGTTAGTGGACTGGTGTGGTCGCATCCTGGGTGTTAGTGGACTGGTGTGGGTCGCATCCTGGGTGTTAGTGGACTGGTGTGGGTCACATCCTGGGTGTTAGTGGACTGGTGTGGGTCACATCCTGGGTGTTAGTGGACTGGTGTGGGTCACATCCTGGGTGTTAGTGGACTAGTGTGGGGTCGCACCTGGGTGTTAGTGGACTGGTGTGGGTCGCATCCTGGGTGTTAGTGGACTGGTGTGGGTCGCATCCAGGGTGTTAGTGGACTGGTGTGGGTCGCATCCTGGGTGTTAGTGGACTGGTGTGGGTCGCATCCTGGGTGTTAGTGGACTGGTGTGGGTCGCATCCTGGGGGACAAGATTGAAGGATCACAATGGAAATAAAAGACAGTCCTTGGACCTGACTAGCTTAGGCCAGTAAGTGACTTTGACTTGCCTAGCATGGGCCAGTAAGTCTTCTACAGTGCTCTCTTCTTTTCTTTTTCTTTCCTCAGTGATGCACTGACTTTCTTGGGTTATCCTGGGTGGCTAACACTCCCTCGGGTTAAAAATCCCAACATCTTATCCTATCTTGTTATACAAACCTGTATGACCATTGTGGGTTTAGCACTTAGTTTTGATTGCAATAATAATTATTTTACAAGCAGCTAGACAGTTTTTCACTCTTAGATTACCCTAGGTTAAAGTTTACCTGGAGACCTGGAGAGAGTTTCGGGGGTCAACGCCCCCGCGGCCCGGTCTGTGACCAGGCCTCCTGGTGGATCAGCGCCTGATCAACCAGGCTGTTGCTGCTGGCTGTACGCAAACCAACGTATGAGCCACAGCCCGGCTGATCAGGAACTGACTTTAGGTGCTTGTCCAGTGCCAGCTTGAAGACTGCCAGGGGTCTGTTGGTAATCCCCCTTATGTGTGCTGGGAGGCAGTTGAACAGTCTCGGGCCCCTGACATTTATTGTATGGTCTCTTAACGTGCTAGTGACACCCCTGCTTTTCATTGGGGGGATGGTGCATCGTCTGCCAAGTCTTTTGCTTTCGTAGTGAGTGATTTTCGTGTGCAAGTTCGGTACTAGTCCCTCTAGGATTTTCCAGGTGTATATAATCATGTATCTCTCCCTCCTGCGTTCCAGGGAATACAGGTTTAGAAACCTCAAGCGCTCCCAGTAATTGAGGTGTTTTATCTCTGTTATGCGCGCCGTGAAAGTTCTCTGTACATTTTCTAGGTCGGCAATTTCACCTGCCTTGAAAGGTGCTGTTAGAGTGCAGCAATATTCCAGCCTAGATAGAACAAGTGACCTGAAGAGTGTCATCATGGGCTTGGCTCCCTAGTTTTGAAGGTTCTCATTATCCATCCTGTCATTTTTCTAGCAGATGTGATTGATACAATGTTATGGTCCTTGAAGGTGAGATCCTCCGACATAATCACTCCCAGGTCTTTGACGTTGGTGTTTCGCTCTATTTTGTGGCCAGAATTTGTTTTGTACTCTGATGAAGATTTAATTTCCTCATGTTTACCATATCTGAGTAATTGAAATTTCTCATCGTTGAACTTCATATTGTTTTCTGCAGCCCACTGAAAGATTTGGTTGATGTCCGCCTGGAGCCTTGCAGTGTCTGCAATGGAAGACACTGTCATGCAGATTCGGGTGTCATCTGCAAAGGAAGACACAAAGGAAGACATAATTTAATATATAAAATCATTATAAAACTTTTAAATTATGTATGAGACCAAAATGAAAACTTACTGGCACAAACAAACACTCGAATACCTACTTTGTCTGACTTTTTGGGTTATCCGAGATAATTTACACGTTACTATGTATAATTGTATTTACATGTATGTGTACCTGTACCTAAATAAACTTACTACTGTACTTACAAGATTGGATGACATTGGATAGTACCCACATGGACAGCCCCCTGTTATGCATTATTTGTTATTATCATAGCATTTTGAGCCCTCTAAAACTTAAGACTAATTGAATATAATAAACATTGCACATGTCAGTGCAAAGACATTAGAGACACCAAAGAGACATTAATTCTAATGAAAATAAACATGAACAATGGGGAAGTTTTAGAAGTGTAGCATGGTACATGATGGTAAGGAAAATTAAATAACTTGGTCCAGCCAAATCAGATACATTATCAAGTACAATTGTTACTTTAGGTGACATTTAATACAGTAATTTAATAACTAGAAATAATGAATAGGTAACAAAGCTCAGTACACACTGGTTGATCGTGCCCTGATCCACCATGAGGCCTGGTCACAGATCAGGTCATGGGGGTGTTGACCCCCAAAACCCTCTCCAGGTACACTCCAGGTATAGTAGTTCTCACATCGGATATTTTGGTACACAGTGCCAGTTTTAGTTTGGTTGTAAATTAACTTAAGATTGTTGCAATCTGTCAGCTCCATATTTTTGATCCTTCAGTCTGCATAGAATTTCTGTAGATGGTCAGTCAAATCCAAGGGATGTGAAATAAATGGCCTGGTGGCAGAAGCTCTCGCTTCACACGGTGAGGGTCTGGGTTCGAGTCCCAGCGAGGGTAGAAACATTGGGCGTGTTTCTTTACACCGGTTGTCTATGTTCACCCATCACTTAAATGGGTACCTGGGTGTTAGTCGACTGGTGTGGGTTGCATCCTGGGACACTGACCTAATTTGCCCAAAATGCTCTGCGTAACGAGCACCTTTCTATACAGCCTCTCCTCACTTAACGATGGAGGTCCGTTCCTAAGACCACGTCGGTAAATGAATGCGTTGCTAGTGGGTATGTGTCAGCCGTCTTTGATATTATTTTAATGTCACCTTTGCACCATTTATAACATTTCTGGTATATTTTTAAATGTTTATACAGTAATGTACTGTATATTGTAATAAGCAGAATAGAAGAAATCAGCTCTTATATACATTATTTAGGTATGCATACTGGTCAGAGAGCCTGTCATAAGTCTGAGTCATTGGTACTCGAGTACGTTGACAAGTGAGGAGAGGATGTATAGTATGTCATTGATGTCAGCTAGGCCTATATACCTTGTACATGTAGTAAAGGTTTATTATTATTATTATTATTATTTATGGTTTGAAGTGTCTGTATTGTTATAATGGTTGCCGAAATGATGTTTTCCAGAGCATAGTTCTTGCTGCTCAGACAACTTATGTTCCGAATAGGGAAATTATATCAAACAAAAATGATCCTAAATGGATAAACAATAGGTTAAAACATCTCATTGGTCAAAAGAGGCATATACATATAGGCAAATCAGAAGAGGGAAGGGGCAGTTAAGAAATTAATATATTCAGTTAAAGAGAGAAATAAAAAAGAGAAGAAAAGCAAAGAGAGATTATGAGGTTAAAGTTGCAAGGGGATCGAAGACTAACCCAAAAGGATTCTTTCTGGTATACAGAAGTAAGATTAGGGACAAGATAGGCCCATTCAAAAGTTACTCGGGTCAGCTCACCAACAGTGATAAGGAAATGTATAGAATTTTTAGCACTTCCTCTCAGTTTTTATACAGGAAGATACTAGCGATATTCCAAAAATAATAAATTATATAGAACAGGATGATGATAAGCTATGCACAATTAGGGTCACAAGGGACATGGTCCTTAGACAAGTAGATAAATTAAAATCTACAAATCCCCAGGCCCTGATGAGCTGTATGCAAGGATTCTAAAGGAATGCAAAGAGGAGCTTAGCAAACCTTTGGCTAATCTTTTCAACAAATCACTACAAACTGGCATAGTGCCAGATAAGTGGAAAATGGCAAGTGTGATAGCTAATTTCAAAGCAGGCGACAGGTCTTTAGCTTTGAACTATAGACCAATAAGCCTTACCTCCATGGTGGGAAAATTTATGGAATCAGTAATTGCCGAGGCAATTTGTAGCCATCTTGAAGAGCATAAATTGATTAATGAATCACAGCATGGTTTTACAAAGGGGTGTTCCTGCTTTATGAATTTATTAAATTTTTTCACTAAAGTATTTGAGGAGGTAGATCATGGTAATGAATATGATATTGTGTATATGGACTTCAGTAAGGCTTTTATAGAGTCCCACATCAGAGACTATTAAGGAAACTTAAGGCACACAGAATAGGAGAAAATTTTTCCTGGATAGAGGCATGGTTAACAGATAGGCAGCAGAGAGTTTGCATAAATGAGGAGAAATCTGAGTGGGGAAGCATTACGAGCGGTGTTCCACAGGGGTCAGTATTGGGGCTCCCTTTTTGTTCACAATCTACGTAAATGACATAGATGAGGGAATAGATGGCAATATAAGCAAGTTTGCTG